GCGAGGTCCATTGGATCCAGCTGACCACCCATGCAGCCCTGGTCGGGTCATTACTCTCCACCTCCCAGACCCAACAAGCATACCCCAGTCCCCATCCTACCACAACCCAACTCTGCACCACCTTATTCGGGCTACCCACCTGGCCAGCCATATGCACGGCCAGTGGACCCTCGGGGCATGGACCCAGGGTACTACCCTCACCCAAGGTAATAAGATGAAGGAACATTGAGTCATATCGCATGACCCATAATGTTTGAAGTTGGAAAAATAGGTTTGTGGTTCAGAACTTTTTGATTGAAACTTTGCCCATCATTTTTTGATATCAACTTTTATTAAACTTTTAAGTCAATCTTCTTTTCCTTGCCTTTTGTTATGAAGAAGAACACTCATCTTCAGCTGTTCTTTCTCACATTTTGTTGATGTTTAGCTCCCAGCAGAGAGGCCCCTTACGGCAGGATGTGCCCCCTCTCCCATCCCCCTCTCCGTGGTCCACGGTACGACACTATGACAAGAGGATCAGGGGGAGGAGTCTACAGGTAGGGGATTTGTGGAAGAACATGATTCCAGGTAAACTCTTCGAACTTAAAACCCTACTTTACAAATGATTCAGTGAATTGATTTTAACATATAAAGGGTATACAGTGAATTAATTGGTTCAAATACACATTAAACACTTTAAGTAAGAACACAGCAATTCAGTCTTCCATGAATAAATCCGAGAACTTGTTTTATTGGTTACAGGCACATGGTGAATCCTAGTCCAGACCAATATGGCTACACTGGGGAGGGAGGAAGACAGCAACCGCAACACCAAACCAACCAGAGACAGAAGAATGCCATGACTGCAGCCGTGTAGACTGATCAGTTCCAGAGATGAAAATGAGCAGAATGCTTACTGCTTTGTGTTGTTTTCGCTGATGCTGATGCTTCTGGTACTGAAAATGAAACAGAACTGACACCTCTAAATGGTGTTATTTGAATCACCATCATTATCAAACATTGTCTGAGCTGTTTGAAGTATATGGTAATACACAGACAAGCAAGGTAAAGGAGGTTAATTATAGAGTGGCCAGTGTGTGCATGGTATCTTGTTCTTTGAAGTCATTTAAATTGCTTTGAATCTTCAGAGAGTACAAATTGGCAGGGGTTTTACAATTGACTGTGCTCTGCGCTACAAAGGTTTTGGATCCATTTAAATGAAGGCAATAAAGAAATACAAGCAGCTCTACTCATATTAAATTAGGTACTTTCATTTCTACTGCTGCATGAGCAAGACAAATGAATGTTTGAAAACTAACATGTAACATGTTTTGCTGCCCTATGGCCATACTGTATGTGGCCTAATAACAGAAATCAGTGGCACACTAAAGGGTCAGTATTTTGGTCGGTTAATCCCAAATTTTAAATTCATGTTTACATGAAAGCGTTTGGCAGGGTTTCAGCCACCTCTCAAAGTTGAGTTGAGAGAAGTGAAAATGTTCCTGTGTTCTAAACCTGTGTGGAAAGCAAGAAGTCTTTCTTAACTTTGTAAGTAACCACTACTACAAATTCTGCATTAATAGACAGTATATTGATCCATCCCAAGTTCATAAAAAAAACTCAAAAAAGCGTTTACATTTCAGCCACGGATATGTTTTTATCTAAAGTAAGTATTTTTCGTCTGAATTCCCAAGCAACATTAGCATTGACAGTATTTTTATTAATAATTTCATTAATGATCTTCCATGTAGTTTTCATACCTTTCTGATAATCACAAACTTTAATCATTTTATTTATAAAATTTATTCAATTCAATTTATTTCTGGATGTTTTGTAACGTTTCAAAAACAGGGTTGAGGGATTAGTAAAGTAGTCCCGATACAGTTTATTCTTCTTGGCAATAGAACGCTTTAAGCTGTTTGTTAACCAGGTTTTGCTTGGGTTGGTGTAATTTTTTCTTCTTTGAAATGGAAAAGTCTCATCAAAGATCTTAAAAAATATAGCATGGAAGATGTTATACCCAAGTTGAGTGTCATGTTCATCTTCAACCACAGACCAACTGACTGCAGACAGTCTGTCAATAAATGTATCAATATTTCTGTTACTAAAATTTCTGAGAACCAACTCATTAACAAGAGTACCTTTGGCAATTGAGGGTTCAAAATAAAATACAGGAAGATGGTCAGATAAGTCACAGCAAAAAATACCAGGAGTCCCAGAGACACAAGTGGAATTTGTAAATACATTATCAATCAGTTTCATTATTAGCAATAATTCTTGTTGCTTTGGTTATGAGAGGGACAAAAGACAAGGCATTACGATGGTCAATAAATTGTGATGATTGGCTATTTAGGAGGTTGATATTGAAATCACCCATAATATAGCATGTTTTTTCTCGTTTGCAATCTTACCTAGAGCATGATAAAACAATCAATGAAGTGATTTAAGTTGGAATTTGGTGGTCTATAAATGAAGCCAACAATAACCTTTTTTCTAGAGAAAGGCTCAACAAGCTCTAAGAAGAAGCCTCGGCTTCATCTTCAACCAAAGAAACAAGATCATTTCGGAGGGAAGACTGAATGTTCTCTTAGCAAAGAGGGATACACCACCTCCACTTCGATTTAGTCTAAATAAGGATAGTAATGATAACCATGCATAGAGAACATAGACACTTTCTGGCTGGTTAGCCAAGTTTCAGTCAAACCAATTTCTGAAAATGTATAGGGAGTACAGAAAGGTAGTCAATAAGACTATCAAATTGTTTAGGTAGACTACGAGTATTTAGGTGGAAAAATATTATCATTAGTGTTGGGCCACGCAGGCTTAGAACAGTCAAACAAGGGACTTGGGCCTGCACCCTTGTGGAAGTCTCATTTGAGTGATTCACTGAAATCACAAGGAAGCCTAAAAGGACTCCTTATCCAGAATTCCCTGCGGTACTTCACACCTACGTGTGACGTAAGGGGGGACTGGAAGCTGAGGGAGACCCCACAGGAAGGCGGCCAGGTGATAAAACTCCAAGACTTCCCTTGTTAGATCTCTTTCACGCGCTGACCTTTGGTGCTCGGAGACCCAAGAAGATCTCCTGTTTCCTGCAACAATCTTCCTTTGTTTTAAGTTGCATCCTATATGTGTTTAGCGTAACAGCGTTATAACCGGGTATTACTCTTCTGATCAGAAAGGCCAGTGTAAGCCGTATTAACCTGAATTCGGCTATTGGTTTGTTTCTGTGAATGAAGGGAATTACTCCGAGTTGTGGCGCGGGAGTCGGACTGTGATCCGGCCTCTTCAGGCACGCATTTCTCTTTTATTCTCTTTTATTTCCCCTTCTACGAACATACACATACACACATATTCCCGTGTAAACGTACATCTGGAGACCAACTCCACCACCGCGCCATTACGCACAGAGATCTATACACTCGCGGCTATCCAGACGCCTCAGAGACACAGATTGTGTAGGGCCGAACTCAGTCTCTTTTAGACCTTAAGGCCACATTTAGGCCTTTGTTAGGTGTGTGCCATCGGAAGGGCGACCACGTGGGACGAAGTAATCTCCCCCCCCCTTCTCTCTCCCTTTCATCCACACGCGCACGCACCCAGGTCTTTGTTAGGTTTGCGCCATCGTGAATGACCACGTGGGACGAAGTAATCTTCCCCCCCTTTCTTCTTCCCCCTCTCTCTCTCTCTCTCTCTCTCTCACACACATACACACACACACACACACACACACACACACACACACACACACACACACACACACACACACACACACACTTCCACAAGCCTTTGCTTGATAATGTTTGTTGCTTAGATTAGTTTATAATAGTTATTTGTTTAATTAAGTTCATTGCTTTTGGATTGATGTTGCTTTGTTTAAATAAATTCTGTTATAATTTAAGAGAGCAGTTGTTTGTGATTACTGGTGTATTTGCATTGTGATATAAGCTGGGTGCGAAGGCTTTGTGTACGGATTTCACGCCTTCAATTTATTAAATATAGTTATTCATTATTAATAATATTAGTAATTAAATAACTAATTTGAGACTGATTTGAGTGATATTTTGGTTATATTTACCTGATTACAGGTTGGTGCCCCAAAACGAACATAAACATAGTTTAATGATATTTTATTTATATTATTAATAATTAAGTATAATTATTAAAGAATATAACCAAAGTTGACTTGATACAACCCCAACAAATGGTGCCCCGTGTGAGGCCTTCAATAAACCAGCTTTATTGCACTGTAAATGCACAGTAATTCGAACTTAAATCCTAAAAAGGATCCTTCTGAAGAAAATTATATTTTCTTTAATTCTTGTGGATTAAGCAAAGCAGACATCAAGCTGTGGCTTAGTTGTGTTGTATGTTGTTGGTTAATGGTTAAAGCCATAACTGTTATCCCCTTTGGGTCCATACAACAATTGGACATAATGATGCAGCTAGTGTGACTTTATCAAGGAACTTGATTTGTTGCACTAATCTAGATTTTGATCCTGAAGCATTCTACAAAAGATTGTGGTGCTCTTTGTTTGAGAGCCATTTGGCCAGATGAGAGTGTAACCTCATCATTGTTGCATAGCCAGCTGTCTGAGGTGTGAGTCCTCCCTTCCTTTGAGGACTTGAGGTGTGAATCTACTCTCCTATCTTCCAGAATAGACTGCAGTGATTAGTTGGGAAACTTAGATAAGATTTGCTCTTGTGTACACAAAAGTCCCGTTCCTAACAAAAGACAGAATGGGCGAGGAAAGCCCACATTACTCAGGAGCTGAGGCCCCCTGCGGATTAGACGATCGTTCCATTCAAGATGTAGTTGCTAGTCTGATCCATCTCCCTATAGAGCAGCTCAACAGTCTGAACTCCTACTCCCTCAGTACATGTGAAGAGAAACTAAAGGGCTTGGTTGAATATGCAAATCAACCAACCGGGAAGCCAATACGCACAATTTCAGATGTTCTAGGCAAAATTCTCCTCCTTTACCAGCGCAAATCAAATGTGCAGAATAAGATACTCCGGGAACAACTAGCCCGGGTACAAGAAGAAGGACAGATCCTGCGGGACCACTTCAAAGGGATGCAGGATAAACTAAAGGCCCTGCAGGAGGAGAATAAAACACTGCACGAAAGCAGCAAACTGGCCGAACAAAGGAAACGAAGTGATATGGTACCCAGAGTTCAGGACAGGCAGAGAAGGACTTCAGCCCCCAGATCAGATGAGGAAACCTCAGATGAAGGATGGGAGACTGAACCAAGCCCATGGAGGAGGGAGACAGATACGTTGAAGGATCTGAAGGAGAGGAGAAGGCACCGCCGGGTCGACCCAGGCACAAAAGCGCCCACGTCCTTAGACTACCCGGTAAAGAGTGGGATGAGTAAAGAGGAAGGGCCCCCGTGTTCCGCAATACGCTTTGAGCAAAGAGAATCCTCACCCCGCAGGAGGAGGGACTTCACACCCCCTAGAGACAGGGAGGAGACGTGGGCCCAATCGGGTACCGAACGCTACCGGCCCCACGGGAGACGGCCACGTTTGAGCCGAACACAAACCCCGCCACGGTTACAACCCTACTACCGTGACAACCACAGGGCTTACGATTCGTCAGATGAATCGGACGACCACCGCCAGCCTTCAAGTCAGGGTCTGCGTACCAGGCAGATAGAATCTCTGGCCAAAGATGTGGAGCGTTTTGATCCAAATAGCCCAGACGCAAATGTCGATGACTACGTCACAGAAATCGACCAGTGTCTCGTTGACCTGCCCTACGCATCATCGCGTGAAAAACTAAAACTGATTTGGAAAACGTCAACCAGGACGGTTCGTGCGTTCATGGGGACACTCCCATATGAGGTCCGTCAGTACTACCCTGCACTCTGCAGAGCTCTGCGGGAAGAATATTCAGTCTACACAGACTCAGCAGCAGCTACCCTTGGAGCTTTCAGTGTTATGCATAAGAAGCACAAGGCCCCCAGGGAGTACTATAGGCGCCTGAGGGCTGCCTACTTCCAAGGAAGAAAAGCACCAGGATTAGAGGAAGATGAAGCCTTCAAAGCGTTGTTCACACACAACCTGCATGACAGCGTGCGATACGATGTCGCCATGCATTGTAGAGACCGTGGCCTAACTATGCAGGAAATGAAGAAATACGCGCAAGTAGCGTGGGAAACACGTCTGCGCCCGGAGGCCAGGAAGCCAGAGAGCAGCCACAGTGTCCTGGAAATCACAACACCAGAAGTCAACTTGTTAGCACTTGAGGGCGACGAACTACCGTGCCCCAAGACCATAACCAAACCACAATACTCGGGACCGCCTCGCCCCCCGGGTGGGCAGCAGAGTCAAAGGGACGAAGGGTGGAACAAATCGCAGTCTAAGTATCGACAGCCGCAATGAGATCACACCAGACCAAGAGGGAATTTCAGAAATGATCAACACTCCAGACCGAAGGGGAGGTTTGGCGGCAGGCCCTACGAGTCCGCTGAGGGCAGAAATACAAACACGGAGATGGTGGATATGATTCGCCAGTGCATGACAGATGTGATGACACAGATGGGAACCTCCCATCAACCATCTGCACCCCTTGACCATCAGAGGAAACCTGGTTCAGACCCGAGGACAGCATGACTAACCCAAGGTCCTTCCCCAGTCACCGCTAAAGTCTACTTCGTGGGATGGGGAAGGGAGCCAAAGG